ACCGGACCCCGCCGTCGGCCGTCGGCACCGCCCCCGTCGTTGGGCGTTCGCGAAGATTCGGACGGGCTGCCAGCGCGCACAAGTGGGGGCGGAGGCGTGCAGGCTCAGGTTGCTTGCGGTGGCCCGAGCCACGCCGCGGCAGCCTCCAGTCAGGCCACGCCAGGCCAGGCCAGGCCAGGCCAGGCCGAGCGCCTGGAAGAAAGGCTCGGTCGGCGAGGTGGCACTCGGCCTGGTGCTGGCCTGGGCCCCCGGCCGCTGCTCGCTGGCGGTTGCAGGCATGGCGTGGCATGGCGGGCCGCTGCGCCTGCTGCTGGTCGGGCCGCGAGAGAGAGCACGGCCCACAGGCAAGCTTCCACGTAGGCGCCTGCTGCGCTCATAACCGGACCTCGACCAGCTCCCTTCTTCGACGACGTCGCCCCTTCTCCCTCGCTGACACCACCACCTCTCTCCTGTCCCTGCCACCGTCCGTCGTTGAGCCGACCTTGACCCCTTGCCCACTACCGTCGTTCCAGCAGGCCTGTCTACGAAGCTAGTCGTCGCCCCTCTCTCTCTCTCTCGCACGCACGCACGCACGCACGCACTACCATGAAGCCCGTTGCCGCCGCCGCTCTGGCCGCCTTTGTGCTGGCCGAGGTCGCTTTCGCCGAGGCCGAGCGACCGCAGTTCACTGTGAGTGCAGCCGCGCAGCGGATTCCCTCTCATATTCTGCCCCTGTGATGGCCGACGCTGACACCACCGTCGTCCTCGCCTCTGCGTCTTCCCCGCCGCCCGCCGCCCGCCACCGCAGCCCACTTCGATCAAGGCTCCATTTGTGGAGCAGTTTGACGACAACTGGTCGCAGCGATGGCAGCCGTCGCAGGCGTCCAAGTTCCAGAAAGAGGACGATGCTGAGGCGTTCAAGTACGACGGCGAGTGGGCGGTCGAGGAGCCCTCGGTATTCCCTGGCCTCGCCGGCGACGTCGGCCTGACGCTCAAGAGCAAGGCCAAGCAGCACGCCATCTCGCACCTCTTTGACCAGCCCATCGACCCCAAGGGCAAGCCCCTCGTCGTGCAGTACGAGGTCAAGATGCAGAAGGGCCTCGGATGCGGCGGCGCCTACATCAAGCTCCTCAGCGAGTCGGCGCAAGGGATCCAGGCCGAGGAGTTTTCGGACAAGACGCCCTACACCATCATGTTTGGTCCCGACAAGGTGAGTCGCAGCAGCAGCAGCGGCGGCAGCGCGTGTGACGGTGCTGCCAGAATCGTCGCCGGCTGACATCTCGAGCTTTTCCCCCGCCTCCGTCATACCCTCGGCGCTCGTCGCTCGCTCATCTGACAGTGCGGCTCGACCAACAAGGTCCACTTCATCTTCCGCCACAAGAACCCCGTCACGGGCGAGTACGAGGAGAAGCACGTCAGGCACCCCGCCTACCCCAAGATCTCCAAGACGACGACGCTCTACACGCTGGTCGTCAAGCCCGACCAGACGTTTGAGATCTTCATCAACAACGAGTCCAAGAAAAAGGGCTCGCTGCTCGAGGACTTTGACCCGCCGGTCAACCCGCCCAAGGAGATTGACGACCCCGAGGACAAGAAGCCCGCCGACTGGGTCGACACGCCCAAGATCACCGACCCGGACGCCACCAAGCCCGACGACTGGGACGAGGACGCGCCGCTCGAGATTGTCGACGAGATGGCCACGATGCCCGAGGGCTGGCTCGAGAACGAGCCCTCGACCGTCGCCGACCCGGACGCCGTCAAGCCCGAGGAGTGGGACGACGAAGAGGACGGCGAGTGGGTGGCGCCGCAGATCCCCAACCCGCTCTGCGAAAAGGCGCCCGGCTGCGGACCCTGGACGCGGCCCACGATCCGCAACCCGGCGTACAAGGGCAAGTGGTCGGCGCCGCTGATTGACAACCCGGACTACAAGGGACCCTGGGCGCCCCGCAAGATCCCCAACCCGAGCTACTACGAGGACCTCTCGCCGGCCGACTTTAACCCGATCGCCGGTGTCGGCTTCGAGCTGTGGACCATGGACGAGGACATCCTCTTTGACAACATCTACGTCGGCCACGACCCCGCCCAGGCGCGCGACTTTGCCAAGGAGACGTTCGACGTCAAGCTGCCTATTGAGCAGAACAAGGAGGAGTCGACCAAGGCCGAGGCGGCCGCCGCCGACAAGCTCGCCGAGGGCGCCGGCTTCGTCGACCAGGTGCGCGGCACCGTCAACACGTTCATCGCACGGGCGCGCGAGGACCCGCTCGAGGCGGTCAAGGAGATGCCGCAGGTGGCCGGTGGACTCGGCGCCGCGTTTGCCGGCCTGCTTGGTCTCGTCGGCCTCGTGGGCGGCGTCCTCGGCGGTGCGTCGAAGCCCACCGTGACCAAGGACGGCAAAAAGGTGGATGCGCCGAGCGCCGCCGCGGCCAAGGCCAAGGAGGTTGCCGCGAGCGCCAAGGCGACGGCGGTGCAGGCCAAGGATGCCACCAAGAAGCGGGCCACGGCCGCCACGGCCAAGGACGACGAGTAGGCGGGGCCAGGCCTTTTTCCTTCCGCGGCACTCATTTTGTACATCATCCTGATTCCCCCAATGTCCCGGCATTCCTACGTAGTGTGCTCTGCTGCTCACAATGTTGCACGAGCTGTGTTTGACAGGGAGGGCCGCGAATCGATCGAGGCGCGAGGGCGGTGCTGAGCAGCACGTCGACCGACTTCGCATCGGGCGGAAGTGGGCTGCATCCCGCCTCGAGGGCTGCGTGATCGGCATCCAAGTTTTTGGGCGGCGCCAGAAAGGAGCGCCAGGCGGGGTCCGTGGGTGTACACGGACCACGCCTTTGGATTTTCGCTTTTGGCTCGAGCCGGGCGAGCGAGGGCGGGCAGCGAAGATTTGAGGCAGAGCCACCCACCCACACACACACCCGATCGCCCTCGTCCTCCACCATCATCCGCACCAACCACCTTCCACTCACCACACGAGGAAACAGATAGTCAACATGGCCGACATCAACGCCGTCGCACAGCAGGTGAGATATCCCTCCCTGGCCTTTGTCGCTCCGCCGGGCCTGACCGTCCCGGCTCATGGGGGGCGCGAGGGCGCGAGGGCGGTTCGAGGTGCCATGCTAACGCTCCAATCGCCTACCCTGCGCTCCTCCGTTCGATTGGGACGGTACGGTACGATACGACACGACAGTTTACGCAGTACTACTACTCGACCTTTGACACGTCGAGGGGTAACCTCGGTAACCTCTACGTGAGTCTTCCCCCGCCCTATTCCTTGCGCGCAGATGGCGGCTGCTCTCTTCAGTGCCGCCATCCTTCGAGGGTCTCGCGGAGCTGGGAGAGAGTAAAACGAAGAAAGAGGAACTGACGTGTTCTCCTTTGCTTGTGTGGGGTGCGACGATGCGACGATGCGACGATGCGACGATGCGACGATGCGACGATGCGACGATGCGACGATGCGACGATGCGACGGGTAGCGGGACCACTCGATGCTCACGTTCGAGGGAAGCCAGGTCATGGGCGCCCAGGCCATCGTCGAGAAGCTCCAGGTACGTCACTGTCCCCCCCTCCTCTCTTCATTCAATCCAAGCATTCATACAGGACAGATCCTGATGCTCTTCACCGTCCATTCCGGCTATGTACATGCTCTTCGATGCTCCGCTGGCCTTGCCTGGTGTAGAACCTGCCCTTCCAGAAGGTCAAGCACGAAGTCGGTTCCCTCGACGCCCAGCCGACGGGAACGGGCGGAAGCCTGCTGGTCCTCGTCACTGGCGCGCTCCTCGTAAGTCCCTGGGCCGCCCTTTCGCCTGCCTTGCCCGCCTCCATCGACCATCCCTCGATCGGACAAGGAACTCGAAATGAACCATCTTGACCTCGCGGACTCCCCGCCTACGACTTGAACGCGCACAGGTCGACGAGGAGGCCAACCCGCTCAAGTTCTCCCAGGCCTTCACCCTCAACGCCGACAACGGATCGTTCTACGTCTACAACGACGTCTTCCGGTACGTTTCTCTCCCGGCCCTCGGAGGGAAGTCCAACGCCGTCCCCTGACTTTGATCCCCCATTGCTACTGCCTCCCCCCTCCCCCGTTGCGCCTAATGCAGCCTCGTTTTCGGTTAAAGCGCAGCTCTGAGCCGTCCGTACACGGGTCTCGAGCTCGACCTCGCTCTCGAGGTCTGCACAGACGGACATCGTGTCGCCGCGCAGATCAGACCCGAATCACACGTCGGAACGCCATTTCCCCCTCTTCGCCTGATTTTCGCCTTTGCTTTGCTTTCGTCGTTCCCGCTGTGCGGCTGCGGCTGCGGCGGCGGCGGATCTTCTGCTTACAACGGACGAGGTCTGAGCTGACGGTGTCGACTGACTCCCAGCCCGACAGCGCACCTGGCCACCTTCTCCTCGCCCGCGTTTAGGTCCCAAAGATGTGTTCGACCTGGTGCGAAGAGTCGCGGCAGGGGCGCCAGAGGATGCGATGGTCAGCAGGCGGTTCTCTTCGTTGGTCGGTCATCCCTTCACAGCGCACGCTCAACTCACCTCGTCGATACCGCCGGCCTGCGGGTGGGGCAGCGGCCTTGGCAGCTCGTCTTCGTCGTCCTCGACGGCGATGCCGTCGTCGTCGGCCGTCAGGAGCTCCGGGCCAAATTCGAGCACGGGGCGCAGCGGCGACGAGTCCGAGTTGGATCGGCCCGAGCCGCTCGAGGCCGACGACCTGCGCC